ATGATATTCACCAACTATTCTATGAGACCAGGCAGTTTACAGTTATTTTTGAGAAAAACAATTACTCATTTACATTTCATGTTCCTATGAAGAAACTGACAGTCAAACTTATTAAAATACTATTAAAATAGAAACAGTATATTTTCACCTTCTGTCTTCTTTGCTACCCAGGAGTTTATGTGTGTCCTGCCTCCCTCTGCAGCCTTGGAGGAAGTCGAGGCTTTCTCTTCCATGTGTCTGCTCGGTAGAATTTGTGGGAAAGAATCTTTGAAAGACTTGGGGAGACAGCAACACAACAGCACGGTCTACAAAAATCTCTTCAGCTGTTTCACCTGTTCCTGCAACATTCGCCCATCTGGTGATCATTACTTTGTTATCTTTATCTGCATGTTTGTTTTTGTTTCATTTGTTCATTTATTTTTTTCTTTAGATTCTACAAAATAAGTGAAATCCTTAGTACCATATTTTGCAGGCATATAATGTGCATCTTTTTCCCAAAAATTTTAAGAAAAAATAAGGATGAGAATTATACATGGGTAATACGAATTCTGTATCTAGATAAATGTTTTAAATTATTTTATTTATGGTTATGCCTTAAAAGTATAACTCTAAAAAGCTGTAAAACTACTTTTTACATGAAATTTCTCATACCATAATATATTGGAAAATAAAGGAATTATAAAATTGCTTTATAATACCAAAAACATGGATCTAAATACAAATAAATAGTTCATTAAAACAAACTAAAACAAAAGATTGTTTTCCCTCAAACTTTGGGCCAAAAATGTGGCTGTGCATTATACATGGCAAAATACAGTATTGGTCTTACTCTGTGTGACTTTTTTCACTCAGTATTATACCCTTTAAGGTCCATTCATATTGTCACAAATGGCAAGGTTTCACTTTTGATGGCTGAGTTCTATAGTATATATGCACTACTTCTTCTGTACCCATTCATCTACTGATGGACACTTAGGGTGTTTCCATATCTTCGTTGTTGTACATAATGCCGCAATGAACATAAAGGTTCGTGTATCCTTTCAAATAAATGTTTTCAGTTTCCTCAGTTGTAAAACAGTATAGAAGTAAAATTTCAGGGGTCATATGGCAGTTCTATTTTTTAATTTTTTAAGTAACCTCCATATTCTTTGCCACAGTGGCTGCACCAAGTTACAATCCCACCAATAGTGCACAAAGGATCCCTTTTTTCCAAATCCTCACCAACACTGGTTGTTTCTGAGTTTATTGATGATAGCCATTCTGACAAGTGTGAGGTAATATATCACAGTGGTGTTAATTCGCATTTGGCTGATGAGCAGTGATGTTGATGCCTTTTCATATGTCCATTAGCCATTTGTATGTTCTCTTTGGAGATATGTCTGTCCAGGCCCTATGCCCATTTTAATTAGATTCTTTTTGGTTTTGTTTTGGGTTTCCCTACTTTTAGTGTTAAATTGTATGAGGTGCTTATATACTATGGATATTAAACCCAAATCAGATGTATTACTGGCAAATATCTTTTCCCATTCAGCAAGTTGTCTTTTCATTTTGTGAACTGTTTCCTGCACTGTGCAGAAATTTTTACTTTGATGTAGTCCCATTTGTTTGTTTGTTTTGCTTCCCCTGCTGTAGAAGACATGTCCAAAAAATATTGTTAAGAGTGACTTGGAAAAGTTCCTTGCCTATGTTTTCTTCTAGGATTGTTTGGGCTTCAGGTCTTAAATATAAGTCATTAACCAATTTGAGCTTTTCCTTACATGTCTTATAAGAAAGTGATCTAGTTTCACTTTTTGCATGTATCCCAACATCATTTATTGAGGAGACTGTCTTTACACGTTTGAATATTCTTTTCTCCTTTGTCCAAATTAACTGGCCATATTGGTGAGTTTATTTCTGAGCTATTCTGTTCCTTTGATCTATGTGTTTGCTTTTCTACCAGTAACATGTTGTTTTGATTATAGTTATCAAATACAATATAGTTACAGCCTTATAGAATGGTGTGATATTAGGTAGTGAGCATGACTCCCCAGTTTTGTTCCTCAAAACTGCTCTGGCTATTCAGGATTTATTACAGTCTCATAAAGATTTTAGAATTGTTGAAACCGCAATGAGATACCACCTCACACCATTGGGAATGGCCATGATAAACAAAGCAACAAACAACAAGTGTTGGAGAGGTTGTGGCGAAAAGGGAACCCCTTAGTGCTGTTGGTGCATTATAGACCGGTACAACCACTATGGAAAACAGTATGGAATTCCCTCCAAAAACTGAAAAGGAACTGTTTCTTGACCCAGCAATTCCACTCCCTAGTATTACATCCTAAGAACCCTGAAACACCAGTCCAAAAGAACCTATCCACCCCAATGTTTAAAAGCAACACAATTTACAATAGTCAACTTCTGGAAGCAACCTAAGTGCCCATCAGTTAAATGAATGGATCCCAAAACTATGGTAAATTCATTCACAATAGTCATGCAGCAGAAAGAAAGAAGGGAGCTCTTATTCTTTGCAACAGCATGAATGAAAGTGGTGAGCATTATGCTAAGTGAAATAAGCCAGGTGGTGAAAAGACAAATACCATATGATCTCACTTTGATCAGGTACACCCACAAATCAACAATACAAACAAGCAAATAAAGTAGAAAACAAAGACTGAAATTAGAACAGGTTGACAGTGACCAGAGGGAGAGAGAGGAGAGGATTATAGGGGAAAAGGTTGAAGGGTTTGCATGAACAATTATAAAGGACACATGGAAAGTAACAGGTGGTAGGGGTGTGTCCAAACAGGGGAGGGAGGTAATGAAGGGGCAGGGGTTGTGGAGAGGGGTGACAGGGAAAGGCAGAAAACGGTACCCTGAACAACAATTTTAAAATGTTTAAAAAAATTTAGGTTTTTTGCTGGTAGCTTTTGCAAAAATGTCCCCAGTATTTTCATCAGGATGGCATTGAGTCTATACATTGCTTTGGGTATTGTGGACATCTAAAAATTAATTTCTTCCTATCCATGAGAATACCATATCTTTAGATTCATTTGTGCCTTTTTATATTTCTTTTTTGTTGTTGTTGTTTTTTATGTTTTTTTATTTAGTTATTTTTCAAGTACAGTTTTTTTGTCTATTTCTCCCATCCCAGCCTCCCCCAAACCTTGCTCCCCACCTCCCTCCCATTTCCACCCCCCTTAGTTCTCTTCCCTGTGTCCTCCCTATTTGTTCCTCCAAATCCCTCCCACTTTTTCCCCTTAACTTCCCTTCCCTCTCCCCTCTGGTCACTGTCCCCATCTTCTCTATTTCAGTGTCTTAGTTTTTTTTTTTTTCTCCTTGCTTGTTTGTTTTGTTGTTTAGCTTCCTGTTAAAGGTGAGATCATATGGTATTTGTCTTTCAACACCTGGCCTATTTCACTCAGCATAATGCTTTCCAGTTCCATCCATGTTGTTGCAAAGGGTAGGAGCTCCTTCTTTCTCTCTGCTGCATAGAATTCCACTGTGTATATGTACCACAATTTTTTGAGCCATTCATTTACTGGCAGGCACCTAGGTTGCTTCCAACTCTTGGCTATTGTATATTGTGCTGCTATGAATATTGTGGTGCATAGGTTCTTTGAAATTGATGTTTTAGGATTCTTAGGATATAATCCAAGCAGTGGAATTGCTGGGTCAAAAGGCAGTTTGCTTTTTATTTTTCTGAGAAAATTCCATACTCTTTTCCATAATGGTTGTACCAGTCTGCAATCCCACCAACAGTGAACTAAAGTCCCCTTTTCCCCACAACCTCTCCAACATTTGTTGTTTGTTGCTTTGTTTATGATAGCCATCCTGACTGGTATAAAGTGGTATCTCATTGTGGTTTTATTTGCATCTCTCTGATAGCTAATGATATTGAGCATCTCTTCATGTGTCTCTGGATATTCTGTATGTCCTCCTTGGAGAAGTGTCTGTGCAAGTCCTTTTCCCATTTTTTAATTGGGTTGCTTGTCTTCTTAGAGTGGAGTCGTGTACGTTCTTTGTATATTTTGGAGATTAAACCTTTGTCAGAGGTATCATGGGCAAATATGTTTTCCCATACAGTTGGTTGTCCTTTTAATTTAATACTGTTTTCTTTAGCCATGCAGAAGCTTTTTATTTTGATAAGATCCCATTTGTTTATTCTTTCCTTTATATTCCTTGCTCTAGGGGACATATTGGTAAAAATGTTGCTGCGTGACCTAGGGATAAATTTAACCAAGGAGGGAAAAGACCTATATTTGGAAAACTATAGGACATTGCACTAAGAAATTGAGGAAGATACAAATAAGTGAAAGCACATACCACATTCATAGATTAGAAGAATTCACATCATTAAAATATCCATACTATCTAAAGATTCCATACTAGCTATAGAATCAACACCATTCATACTAAAATATCAATAACATATTTCACGGATCTAGGAGAAAATTCCAAAAATATATTTGGAACCAAAAAAAGACCCCAAAGAGCCTCAGCAATCTTCCCAAAAGAGAACAAACTTAGAGGTAACACAATACTGGATATGAACCTATACAAGCCATGGTAATCAAAACAGCCTGGCATTGGCATAAGAACAGGCATATATATCAATGGAACAGAACAGAAACCCAAAAATCAGCCATGGCTGTGCGGTCAATTAATATCTGACACAGGAGTCAAGAGCAAAAATGGACTAAAAACAGTCTCTGCTACAAATAGTTTTGGGAAAATTGCACAGGTACATGAAAAAAATGAAACTTACATTATACACAGGAATAAATTCAAAATAAATAAAGGACTTAACTATAAGTCAAGAAACCATACAAATCCTAGAAGAAAACATAGGCAGTAAAATCTCAGACAATCCTCATACCAATATTTTGCCAATATGTCTGTTAGGGCAAGGGAAACAAAGAAAAAATAAACAAATTCAACTATTTAATATTTCAAACAAAAAAGCATCTGCACAGCAAAAGAAACAAACAAGAAAATGAAAAGTGTATCCACTGTAGGAGAAAACATATTTACCAAGGATACATTTGAAAAGGGGTTAATTTCCAAAATATATAAAGAACTTAACACAGGTGAACACCAAGAAGACAAACAATACAATCTAAAAATGGACAAAGGACCTGCGTAGACACTTCTCCAAAGAGGACATAAAGATGACCAATAAACACATGAAAACAATCATCAGTGTCATTAATCATCAGAAAGATGCAAATTAAAATCACAATGACATATCATCCCATCCCTGCCAGAATGGCTACAAACAATATGGGCAAAGTGGGGGAAAATGGGGACATCTGAATTCGTGTAAACAACAAAACTAAAGTAGAAAAATAAAAAGACTACCAGACAACCAAAAAGAGAAAACAAACATAAATTTAAACAAACCCCCCCCCAAAAAAAACTAAGGCCCTGGCAGGGTGACTTAGTTGGTAGGAGCACCTTCCCATACACCAAAAGTTTGCCAGTTCAATTCCCATTATGGCACATTCTTTGATTGCTGGTTTGATCCCCAGGCAGGGTACATAAGGGAGGCAACCACTGGATGATTCCTTCTCACATTGATTTTTCTCTTCCTCTTTCCTTCTCATTCTGTCTCTCTCTCTTTCCTCCCCCCATCTAAAAACAGTGAAAGTATCTTCCTATGAGAAAAACAAACCTAAGGAAAAATAACAAGAAAAAAGAATACCATATAATAGTTAAAGTGTAAGGTAAATCCACATATACTAAGTTGCAAAGAATTCAAGTCATAGTGTTAGTTGGAAAGAAACAAATTACAAAAGAATATGTATGGTATAACGGTATTCTATAGGGCAAAAGCCCACAAAACAAATTCCTGTATGTATGGGGGATACACACTTGAAATCTATGAAAGCTCTTATATGAGGGAGGGGAGCAATAGGGTATGCAAAAGAAGATTTGAGTGCTCTTGCTTTGTCTGCTTTTTTGTGTTTTTTAAATAAGAAATCTATATTACACATCATACGAGCATTTTTTTGAAAAATGGATAGCATTATAAAAAAAACCAGTATACTTAGACAAATAGGAACTTAAAAAAATTCTCAGTTGGAATAGACAAAGTATTTACATGTGCAAAATGTTTAACACCTCACACTGCACAAAAAAATTGCCAACAACTAAAAATAATAATTAAAAATACCAGTTTAATCTTTGTTTTAGCCAAGTCATCTTGAATTGTATTATGCTGTAGGTTAGTTTTTAAAAAATAATTCACTAAAGCTGCATTAGTATTTAGACAGTACTTGTGATAAGGATCATTTTACACAGGAAATAAGTGAGAGTTGAAGGAAGGAAGTATGTGAGTCCTGAGCTCATGTAAATCTGTGCAAATTTGTAGCCCACCAGGTTTCTGCTGTACCACATGAACCCCTCTCCCCACCGCATTGTGATCTTTCATTTCTTGGTGAAAAATGGCAAGTATAACTTACTGAGTTGAAAGCATAAGACTTTTCTCCAAAGAGCCTGTTGGCGGTTCGAAGCAAGTACTGTGTGCCCGTCCTGTTAACTTCAGTGAGAAGTGATTGGAAGCCCTGGTGGACATCTTCACCTCCGCCTCCACTTTTACTTAGAGAAAGTGCCTAAAATATAAAACAGAATAAAAGTGTTCAACTTCAGTATGCTTAGACTTCAGGAAACTGGATACAACACTAAACTCTGTCTAAGAACTGTACAGATTCCCACTACAGCTTAAAAGAAGATTCATTCAATTAAAGACAGAAACTAACTTGAAAGCCACTCAATCCTGATAATACTTCCTGCATGGAGTCAGAGCCCTGTCTGCACTGGCAGGACAAGAAAACGCCCCTTGCAAACCCAGGTTCTGGGTGCTCAGTACTTGTAGTCTGTCTAAAAATAAGTCTGTCTAAAATAAGGCTTTTCATTCTAGTAAAGACAGGCCACTCCTGATAACAAAAGGTGCAGCCTCTCCCTGGTCCTGGGTCCAGACTGGTCCTGAGATTGCTCTAACCACACAATGCAGGAGAAGTGACACTGGGCCTTGACAGGCCTGGCAGCTTCAGAAGTTCTCCTGTACCCCAGCCACCATGCTGTAAGGAAGTTCGAGCTGTCCTGAGGAAGTCATGTAGAAAGGCCTGGAGAGCAGCACCACAGGGGGAGAGCTACTTGTAGAATGGCGGCCTCAGCCATCAGCCAGCCCCAAGGCCCCAGACAGGTCATAGAGGCCTTTCTTGGACCATGAGTGATCCCAGCTGGCACCCTGGGGTCAGGCCACAAAGTCTGAAAAATAATCCACCATTGTCAATTTGTTTCACAGCCACAGAAGATCCATGAAGCAATCTAGACATGGAGTTGTGCCATAACAGAAACTTAAAGTGTGTCTACCACTTGCTTCAAACCTGGGCAGCTGACAGAGGCTGAATGGAAGGGGTCAGGAGACGGTGAGTAGAGGCAAGGAGGAGAGCAAAGACACTCCTGCCAAAGGCTCGAGAAAAGAAGATCATGCATGTACTGGCAGAAGAACGGGACAGACTGTCACCTGCAATGGAGGGAAAGGTTGGACGTTTTGCCAATGAACCATAAATCTGGTTAAGGAGATGTTCACAAAACATGTGGGTTTTTTCAGCTTCCTGGGTTAAAGTATAGGAAGGTAAGCATGAGCTAAAGAAAAAAATTGTTTCATTTTCAAGCAGAATTTAAAAGAAATATTTCCAATGTAGGATTTGCTGGGTAGAAAATAAGAATGTTTCTAATGTTTCTTGTTCCCACACTTTCCAGCAGGGAAATGATTCTAAAAATGAGAAGTGATCTCAGGGCAACAGTCAACTCCAAGGCACAGACCCCAAGGGCAAGATAAAGATCCCCTTTGTGAAAGCCTTAGAACGATTAAGGAAATTCCTCACACACCCTCTTGCTAGGCAAACAGTCCTTCTGAGCATCTTAAGGACACTGTCCCCCAGCACAGAGTCCTGCCTCCAACAGGTATTAGACCTGTGCTTTTGTTGGATGAAGCAGATTGAAGTTATACGGAAATCCCACAACTGTTTAGAATACCTGCTGACACCTTTTCTTACACTTCCACTATCCAGGCCTGACAGAAAATAAATTTCTGGGGCTTTTTCAATGTGTTTTTTAAAAGATTTTATTTATTGGCTGATTTTTAGAGAAGGAAAAAGAAAGGGAGAGAAACATCAATGTGTAGTGATTGCCTCTTGTGCACCCCCTACTGGGGACCTGGCCCCCAAAAAGGCATGTGCCCTCACTTCTAACTGAACCAGCAATCTCTTGGTTCACACGCTGGTGTTTAATCCAGTGAGCAACAGCAGCCAGGGCAAATTTCTCTTCTATTGACCACTTAGTGTGTGGTACTTTGTTATGGCAGCTCTAGCAGTCTGAGACACCTCCCTTTACAATAGGTGAAGGGAATGTCCACTGCATATTGTCACCACTGCATATTGTGAAGTGAGGGGGCAATAATTTTTCTGTAGTTCACAAAGCTCTGCACCCAGGAACTACACTGAGTAGCCCAATAGTCCTCTTCCTCCTTCATTTCAAGCCTGAGTATGGCCCCATTGTGATATTAGACTCTGTGCCCTTGGGAGGGTTAAGTGTATGTTACATATACAAGGGCTGTGAGTCATTAGGAGCCAGAAGGCAGACTGCGGCTCTCAGGGAGGGTCCCCAAGAAGCTGTGTCCCTGGTGTTCATGCCCTGTACAGCCCCTCTGGGGGCAAACTCTGGTCCTGTGACTGGCTTCAGTGAGCAGGGCATGAGAAAGTGTGACAGAACACAGGCTTCAATAAGTACTTACACATTTAAGCTTCTCCTCTTGTAAGCTAGACACTGTCCTATGAAGAAGTCCAAGCACCCAATCAAAGAGACACCATGTCGTGGGAGGCCTGGGGGCCAAGGCAGCCCACAGAGGAGGCCACCCGGATGGAAGAGGCCCGAGGCCCCACGCCAGTGACTCAGCAGAGAGCCAAGTGGAACAGAAGCACCACCCAACCCATCCAGAGGAAATCTTCATCTTAAGTGCTAAGTTTTGGGGTGGTAGTTGCTCAACAACAAATAACTGAAACACCACTGAAAGGTTTTACAGTTAAAGAAGAAAATTAAAATAAATTTTAACAATTGAAAAGCATTTGCCAATACCCAAAGACTACCAGAGGACTCAACCTGGACCTTGTGACTTTGTACCTACTCACAAACTCCTAGACAAACCATTACCAGGGGGTGGTAAAACCACTTGTTGAACTGACTAGAGGGTGCCTCTCCATCCCTAACAGATCAGGGGTGCTCACCCCAAGTCACTAGCACAGGGCTAACATGTCCTTCCCTGGCAACATTTTACCCACACCCTCAAAACTCTACCAGAGAGTAAGTCCTTTGGGATTTGAAAGGTGGAAGAACAGTTCACTGACAAATTACTAGTGTTTCCTGTTGTCCCGAGATGGCGTCAGACACATACCTGGACCATCTGGGCAGCGGTGTTTCCTTTTGCCCCCAGGAGCACCATGGCCAGGGCAGAGGAGATGCTCATGGGAGAGAAAAACACATTTTTTGAGTTGTCTTCACCCAGCTTTCTCAACAGGTTTAAGGCAAAAGTACCATTTGCTTCTGAAAGAGCATCCATGATGGTAAGTCTGAAACAATGGACTTAAAATCAGTATCGCATAAATATAGGTTTACACATTAACTGCAAGTCACTCTGTTCATAGTTACTCCTGACACTTTGGGTCTATCAGCAAATTTGTGCACATCCAAAACTCTATTTCTTTGGGGCAAACCTCAAAATTATTTTTGGGTGTTTCTAATATTAAGTCAAAGGAAAATTAAAGTTCAGTTTATAATATGATCTTGGTTTGTCGGAGGAAGGGGGAGGACTTGTACCTGCACACTTGTCTGTGAGTCCAGAGAAAATGGAGAAAGACACACACTCAGCCACTCGCCCCAGTTACCTTCCCGGGGGAGAGATCAGTAAAGGACTTATGCACTTTTCGTTCTGGTTCTGTGTTGTTTGGTGTGTTATATGGGCTTACAAGCATTACTTTATCATTTAAAAATCATTTCTATGATAAATCCAATCACCAAGTAACATAACAAAAGATTCTTGAATGTTTTCATAATGTACAAGAGAAGACTCCAGTTTAGGGTACCCTGAAGTCTTAAGATAAAAGAGATGTAAGCCACTGTAAAAGAAATGACATTAGCTACAGATTAAGGGGGTGGGAGAAGCTAAAGCAGGGCCAGCTCTGGGGTAGGCACAGAGTCAGCAAGGAAGTGTCTGCACCTGTACATTAGCTGTGGACTGGCAAGTTCAAGTGTAAAGAGCAAGTCAAGGCTCCTGAGGTCCAGATAGCAGAGGCTCCTGGGATTTGATGGCTCCTGGCTATTATCTCTTTTGGATAATTTTGGAAATAGCCACTTAGAAATTAATCCTAAATGCCAACACAGGATACACAGCAGAAGTAGCAGTCTTTTGTCAGAGCTGGTCCACAGCTACTAACAGGCTAGCTGTTCTGTCTCTCTCACCCAGTGACTGCTGTCATTTTCATTTAGAACGTCTCAAAATTTCTCCTGTCACAAGCTGAGGAACAAGATACGCTGAACTCGGGACCAATGCCTTATCTTTGGACTGCGACCCTGAATGTCGTTACTCAAGAGACAGCCTGAAGGGTGTATCCAGGAGGAACAGTAGAGAGGAAAGACAGCAAAGGGCCTGCCAGTCAGGAGTTGCAGATACAGCAGAGCAGGCCCCAGATGAGTGGTCTCTCAGGGAACAGCATGTGTCAGAACATTTACCAAACTAGTGTTTCCCAGTTAAGAGAATGGGGAAATGACTCATCTGAGCAGTGAGTGGCAACCCACAGAACAACAAAAGGGGAAAGCAAGAGCAGCCGTTTGGGGGCATGAAGGAGGTATCTAACTGAAAGACCTGTGAAGACTGCAGAGCTAAGCCATTCTTCCCCAGCAGGCCTTTACATTTGTAACTGTGATCACCAATTAATATAACAATCCCCCAACTATAAAGAGGACTAAGGTCTTGCAACCTGGAAGCTACCTGCCTTTTGGGGTATTAACTTTAAGGTGGTTATTAAGAAACAAAAGACTCAAAGAACCTTTGACCTTCCCCCTTTTCTACCTAAGAGATGAAGAGGCAAACTGCATCTTCAGGAAGGAAACCAAGCATGTTCACTTCAGCCCAATTTGGATTAAGAACGACATATTAGGAAGGCACCAAACAGGGGCCTGGTAGCCAGATCACCCCATGTCCCCTTGAGGCAAAATCTGCCTGCCAGGTGTGTGTGGCTGCTCCTCAATGACCTGCTAGTGGCCCCTTCCCACTTCTGAAATCTAGGAACCCATTCCCCTACCCCTTCTACTTTGTCCAAAATGAAAATATATACCAAATTTTGCCTCATTGTCTTTGGAATTTTCATGCTTCTGTAAATTCCCCATGTACTCGTATTAAAATTTTATTTTCTCCTGTTAGTCTGTCTCTGTTGATTTGATTATTAGCCCAGCTAGCAGGATTTAGAAGCTGGATTAAAAAGTATAATATTTCACCCCTCATATCTGAATAAGATGTCCCCATTAAAATCCATAGAACATGTAATTCTTCATTTCTATAACAAAAGAGAATGCAGATGCGATCAAATTAAGCACTTTGAGGGGAGATTGTCTCTGAGATAGGGAAGATCATTCAAGTGGACCCGAAATGTAATCACATGAATCCTTACAAGAGGGAGGCAGAGGGACATTTCACTGAAGAACAAACCACTGTGAGGACTGAAGCAAGATGCCACCCTGCTGACTTGGAAACTCCAGGGAGGGGGAGACAACCAACAAGTGCAAGGAAGGCAGCTCTACAAGCTATAAAGTCAAGGAGATAGATTCTCCTCTTCAGCTTCCAGCTTCCCATCTATAATGCACACTCACATTTTTGCCCAAACCTTCAGGAAAAGAATCTTTCATTTTAATTTTTTCCTCTCAATTTTTTATTTATATTTAGAAAGAAATCAGTGATCGTATTCTAGGCTATTATTTTACATATAGACATTATTGTTATGTTGTACAGTTATACCTTTAATGCACAAGCAGAAATAAAAGAATTAAAAACATTTATATAGGTACAGAACTAGTATTACCCATGCAAAATGCACATCTTCATTTTTCTCTTAAAAAATGTGGGCAAAAGCTCTGGCTGGTATGGCTCAATGGATTGAGTGCAGGCCTGCCAACCAAAGGGTCACTGGTTTGATCCCAGTCAGAGCACATGCCTGGGTTGCTGGGCCTGCAGGCAGAGAGTGTGTGCGAGGCAGCCACACACTGAGGGTTTCTCTCCCCTCTCTCCCTCCCTTCCCTCTCTCTAAAAATATGTAAATAGAATCTTTAAAAATTAAAAAATGCAAAAAATTTGGGCAAAATATCTGTGCATTACACAACAAAATACAGGTAATTTTTAATGAAAATACAATGGATCATGTCCTTTATTAAAATGCTTCTGTGCAGAACTCATGCTGTGATGATACAGAAATGACTTGAGGACTTTGCAGAGCCCTGGAAAAAAGCAATGTAAATAAAAGTAGGCATTATACAAAACTGATGCAGAATTACATGTATTTTTGGTTATCTGGATTTTATATCAGAAAAAGCTGCCTGCTTACCAGTTTTCAGAAAAGCAGCTGGTAAAACTGTCCCCATCAGTACTTAGCTACAAAGGGGGAGCAAAGGCACTTAGACATGGAGCTCAGTAAAATAGGGAGCATGAGCCTGTTTGCCTCACCAGGAAGCTACAGCTTTTCCCACTCCAGGGTACTACAGCACTGCTCCTCCAAGGGCATTAACACCCTTCCCTTCCTGCCTCTGGTATGGGATTGGAGGGGAATGCAGGGGAAAGTGCTGGGCCACAGAGGCCTGTCAGTCTATCTAGGGGGTGTAAACCCATCCAAAGCCCAAGTAAACTTAGGAAATTGATTAATATTTTGGAAAACACACCTGGTCCATACCAAACCCAAGCTAATAGAATCCCAGGGGAACAAAAATCAATCTCTCTTCCCCCACCCCCACCCAGGTAATGCACTTGCACTAGCCTGCTCTCTCCATAACCACGTGGCCTTAACAGCCACATGGCCCAAAGCACTGGGACTCCAATGCAGGCTCCCAGAAGGGGCCTAAATACTGCAGCACAGCAATGGACTACAGCTGGAAACACACGCTAAACTGGCCAGATGCTGGACTGGACTGGACTTTAATATGGAGTCCAAAAACTTTGCACAGTGACCTTCATCCTAGCCCTACAGAAGACAAGATTGGACCTTTTCCATGGCAAGACAGATGGAGATGGGGACATTGGGAAGTCAGGAAGGGAACCCCCTTACTTTCACATCTTCAGTAGAGCTCACCATGAGCCCCACCCTCCCATGCAGGTCTCAGGAAATTCTTTTCCTCCAGGCACAGCAAGAACTTATTTTCCACCAATAACAAAATGGGGGACATTTCTGAATTAGTAATTAGAAAAGGAAGGAGATATCCCAAAGCAAGACACACAATCCTGAACATTCCTAATATAATCAAATGTCAAGACTCAGACAAGTGTCTGTGGACCCATTCCACCACACTGGTCATCTCTTGCCTGGGACAGGGACACCTCTGGCTTTGGCCCTAACATGGCTTAGCCCACAGAGAGAGGTGGCTGGATCATGTGGCCCCCAGTCGCTCAGCCTCTTTTAGGTGAACTGAGAATGCACAGAGTTTTAGGACCTTGGGCATATTAGGTTTTGGTCTAAGTTCAACTGGCCAAAGAAAGATCCCCCTCTTACCCCACACAAGACTGTTACCATCCACACACATTATCCCATTAAATGTTGAAGGAATAGTCATTCAAATGCAAATGCCAACCAAAGAAAGGCCATTAGTAAAGCACTGTGTCTCTGGTAATGTCCCTAATGAATCTGTTTTAGACTCTGACCTTTCTGTCACTGAAATCAAAAAAGCACAACCTGCCTTCCCTCTCCTCCAGGGTCAGCACTGGCCTGACCAGCCCTCAGAGCTCTACTGCTGCTGAGGGGAAATCAGTGCATTTTTGTTTCTTTTTGTCATGGAAATTTGAAATGGAAAGATTAATAGTTTCTCATCATAAAGCTGGTTCAGTCTCCTGAAAAATACTGAACTGAAAGAAAAACAAGGACATTCAGAGGAAAAGGGAGGAGTCAGGAAGGAGGCAGGTGTACATTCCCTGCTCTGGAGCCCTGCCTGAATGAAGTGCCTGACTTCTGTTCCCTGTATGAGGAAGGGGGTGTTCCAGATAATCTGTTTCCCCTTCTGTCTTTAATATGCAACAGTTATTAAAATTAGTGCAGAAGAGGAGCAAAAACAGCTCAATCTCCACAGCTCATAAAAGTCCACAACAGCATTTCATTTGAAGGGAGTCAAAGTTTTGCCGCCCTTAAGATACCTACCAGGCCACTGATTTTTTCCTGTTAAGAAACAAAACTTAGAATAATACTTTGACCCTCCCTCCTTTCCTGCCCAAGACATTCAGACAGAGAAACTAGCTTCTGGAGGGAGATCTGAGGATGTCAACTTAGCCTGATTTGTATTAAGTACGGTAAACAGGAAGGCTTCAGGCAGGGGCAGATAGCTAGAGACCCACCTCAACCCACTGTTTCTGATTTGCCTGGAAAAATTCTCCTGCCATGTGTGTTCCACTTTTCATCTACCTCTGAACCACCCCCTCTCGCTTCTCATCTCTAAGACCCCTATGCCCCATTTTCTCCTTTCGCCAAAAATAGCTTACACACCCAAGGTTGCCTCCCCATCTTTGGAATTTTCAAACCGATGTGAGTTCCCCATGCACATGTATTAAAACTTTGATTTTCTCCTGTTAATTTGTTAATGTAAGTATTAGCTAGAAGAACTTAGAAGGTGGGAAGCATTAATTTTTTAGCTCCCACACACTTCTCCATTGAAGATGATTGCTCATAGCCTTTAACAGGAAAATTATATTTAAGTTCTATGAAAATTGCTAAATAAATAAGAAACAATAAATCAACAAGGCCCTGGAGGTTTATCTAAAATACACAGGATAATCATTTAGCAGAAAGTACATTCACCATAAAAAAATGGATATTGCTCTTATGATAAAAGTCCTTAAACAGAAAATACTTCCCATACTTGCTTCATATGATTGAGATCACCTCCTTCAGCAGCCACCATCATTACTGATAAAATATTAGGGGCGGTTCACTTGTTTCCCCAACAGATACATGATACAAACATCTGTTATCTGATACTTGTGTAACTTTGTTCTAAAAGTTCTGGCCAAGACAAAAAGAACTCATGAAACATAATTAGAAGGAAATTTATCAGCAATAAAACAAAATAAGCATAATTTGCAAACAATGGAATGGCCTATTCAAAAGGCAGCTAAAACCAATGAAATACCTTTAATTTCTTTTTAAAGATTTTATTTACTCATTTTTTAGAGAGAGAGGGAAGGAGGCAGAGAGGGAAAGTAACAGGGACAGGTTGTCTCTTGCACCCCCGGACTCGGGGTGTGGCCTGCAACCCACACATGTGCCCTGACTGGGAATCAAATCAGTGACCTTTTGGTTCTCAGGTGGAAGCTCAATGCACAGAGCCACACCAGCCAGAGCATGGAATACTCTTAAATTTGATAAGAGAATGCAGTAAAATGGGCTTCAAAAAGCTTATTAAGAAAACCAACTAAAAAAGACTGCAGTAGAAATATGTACCAAGGATAGTATCAAAATATTTAAGAAAGAGAGAAAGAAGAAAGAAAGGAAGAAAGAAAGAAAGAAAGAAAGAAAGAAAGAAAGAAAGAAAGAAAGAAAGTAAGAAAGAAAGAAAGGAAAGAAAGAAAGGAAAGAAAGAAAGAAAGAAAGAAAGAAAGAAAGAAAGAAAGAAAGAAAGAAAGAAAGAAAGAAAGAAAGAAAGAAAGAAAGAGAAGAAAGAAATTTTAAGAAAAATAGCACTGACCAGTGTGGCTCAGTTGCTTGGGCGTAATCCCACAAAGCAAAGGGTCACTAGTTCAATTTCCCATCAGGGCACATGCCTCAATTGCAGGTTTGTTCCTCAGTCAGGGCTTGTGTAAGAAGCAGCTGATTGATATTTCTCTTTCACATCAGTATTTCTCTCCTCTTTGTTTTTCTCTTCCCCTCTCTATAAATAAATATTTTTTAAAACAATAGCTAATAATTACATTTAACAGTTTCAATTTCAGAAACATAGACTTTTGGAGGACATATTATGCACTAGGTCTTATGTTAGCACTTTTCCTAAAAGATCCTTACAAGCCTGTGAGGCACATTGAGAATATCATCAATGGAAAAGGAAAGAAATCAAGTCCAAGTTGTTTAAATGTCTTATTCCTGAAGTCACAGGGCTACAAGTCACAGAGAAAGGGTTGGAAACCAGGTGTGTGGGACTCTGGAGTTCACTCTCTTAATCCCTATGTTAATATTGCCTCTTTCCACCCCATTTCCCTAGTTTTCTGTGTATGTATGGCAACTTTTCCCCAAATGTTCTACATATCACTCAAGCCTTTTTGGTAATTCCTTCACATGCTCAGATACAAGGAATAGTCTACTACCTCCCGTCTCCTCTCCCAGTCTCTCACCCTGCTGGTGAACAAAGGGCATCGCATGGCACAGGTAGGTACCTTCCTAAATCATCACTGTGTGTTCAGAAAAAAATTCACTGAAGCCAAATGCAACCTCTCACAACAATGCCTGCTGGGACACCCACACAGATGGGTTCCTAGAACACTCGCCTAGTTAGGGAAGCCTGGACAAAAGGGGCCTGCTCTCCAGAAGATAATTCCCGGTTTGAGGGATCCCCCTCATAGTCGCATGTTTTAAAAATTCTTCCTGCCACACCCCATTGAATATCACTGGTATAAGTAGACAAGACCAGTGATTCCATTCATTCTACTTACATTCTACTGTTACTGGCTGTAGTTAACTCTAATGCACAAAATTGTAATAAAATGACTTGGATTGGAATTGGCCTCACATAATTTAAAACACTTAGTCTACTGGCGCCAAGTACAACAAAAATTGCACCCTTGTTAGTCATGACACACTGAAATGCACCCCATATTAGCAGTAACAGCAGTCTTTCATTCATTTTATCACTGTGCACATTACTTAGCCCCAGCAATACGACAACACTGCAGTACTTGAATCCAAAGATCACCTTTGACATCCTCCATCAGTTCTGATATTTTGCCCTATCACTTCTAAACCACACAGGGGAGGAAGCAAGCAGGCTTGACTCATATCCCTGTCATGGGTTACATCTGCCCAGGAATTCCCAGCACTGATTCAGCTTCCCCTTAGCATCTGAGTATTCCCGGCAACATTTGAGTTTAATTTGTTAGACTTCTCATTTCCAAAGCCGAGCTTAGGCCAGAAAGGGAAGAGGGGAAAGAAAGTGACTCAGGCACCAATTACTTCTAGCACCACAAACCCCAAGTATAACTGTAAGTTTCTCCAGAAAGGGCTGTTAGCCCTGCTGACACCAAATCAAGTAATATTTTGCCTACAGTAAGTTTAATAAAAAGGAGAGAAATAACATGATCTGGAACGGTCCTCATTTTTATCTATGCAGGCCTGAGTGACCTCAACAGTGCAGCATTGGCCACCCTCAGGAACACAGGCCACACCCAGTGCGCAAAGCTAAGGCCTAGCACCAGAAGGCAGGAGCCCCAGTGTTAGGACTGGAGCCCTGCACTTCTCTGTGTCCCCCACAGTCCGAATTCCCCCCAGCCACGCTCACTCCTCATCATTCCCCTATCCCCACCAGTGCAGAGCCTCCTGGCCCTGGGGAAGGCTGCGTCACTGTAGTCCAAGGAGGGGCAGGGTAAATTGTCTCTCCTGGATGGGAAGGCTTCACAAGTGGACCAGAGACCCTGGGCAGCAGCCAGAAAGGCTCGGCCCCACCCCATTGGCCCTGGCCACCTCCCCTGCGGGCTGGAGGTTGAGCTTATAGCTCAGAAGGATGCTTTGCCCCCAGGGACCTGAAGCCACCAAAAACAACTCACCAAAACGCAGCACCCTAAGCTGGTGCCCCTAGGCTCCTAAAGAGAACTCGAGCAGGAAGCCTCCCCAGTTCCAACCCTTGGTCCAAGGACCACACCACGAGGCCCAGCCTCCCCTCCCTGACTGGCGCTTGCCTTGTCTCCCAGTGGGTCCTGCAACAGACCTGTAAATGTGTCTGCAAAGGTGTCAGAATGTCTGCAAAGCAGCAGCAGTGAGCTAATCAGCAGCTGGAGGAACTGGAGCCGCTCAGGGCCTCTAATGTGTGTGGCTCAGGGAAGGAGGGAGGAGTCCTGAAAGTGAGTCAGAGCCCCACCCTATCCAGTATCTTGTACTGCACTGGCACTCTAGGGTCTCTGCAGTTGGGAGGGGGCGGTGCAGGAATGTTACCCAGAGAGCACCATGTGCCTTTCAACTGCTAGCAACCAAGGAGCTGGGCTAATCCACAGGCTCCAGTCAAGCTCCCACTGCCAAAGGAACAGCATCTGCTTCCAGAGCGCATACTTCCAGGTCGCAGTTGTAGTCACCTCGCCTACTGACCAGAGAGTCTAATGAAAGGCCTGCCTTCTCTGAGATTTTTCTTCCAGACGCAGCACTGCGCATCTCCACCAGCGTCTTACTCTGGCTTTGTAGGAACTGTAAATTATGTCCTCAGTAAACAGGAAAGTGTTGGTTCCTGGTACATTGATTTGAGTTTTGTCAGTGCAGAAGACAGATTCAATTCAGCAAAGGCTTCGTGATCCTCTTGTGTATCCAAGGGCTCCAGTAATCCTCTGAACCCTGTGAATTAGACTCCAGAAATGATCAGTTATGCAAATACTATGAAATCCTGACCTGCCCTAAGTCTCACATCTTTGCAGTTCCTACAGGTTGAAATTAAATTTCATTTTCTCCAGTTAAGATGTCAATGTCATCATTCTATCTGCCAAACAATCTAACCAAAAGCAGGCAGGCAATGGAGGCTTCTTGCCATCCCCAGCTAAGGAATGAATGGGATAGAGGCCTGGGCCTGCAAATGGGAGGAGGGCAATTCCAAAGCAGAGATAAGGAGAGCAGATATTTGATAATCAGATGTTGGCTCTGTTGCAGAGCTGCTAAGTCTTTTGAATAAAAAAGGTACCTCTGGTAAATGCTCTCTTTTGGGACAGGCACCCTATTTAAATTCTTTTAGTCAGGTAAGGGGGAGGAAGAGTTTTCCCTAAATTTTCTGGGTCTCCATTTCCTTTAGCACGAAATAATCCTCATGCCAAAGTGGCACAATTTGGGGAGCCATACTCTGCTTCCCTTCAGGTCACATGCATTTACTTCATGGTGAATCCACATGGGCATGTTTATTTAGTTGTCCTATCCAAGAACATGCTGAATATTTGCTTAATTTTTTCTTTTTCTGGGGTGTTTTATTTTATTATTTTTAATTTAATTTTTATCGTATTTTTCCCATTACCATTTAGTCCGCTTATACTTCCCTAACCCCCAGCAATCACCACACTGGTGTCCATGTCCATGAGTCCTTCTTGCTCAGTCCCTCCACCCGCTAACCTTCCACCCAACCAGCTGTCATCTGCTCTCCATCTATGAGTCTGTCTTTGTTTTGTTTGTTACTTCAGTTTGTTCATTAGATTCCACCTATGAGTGAATTCATCTGGTATTTGTCTTTTTCTGATTGTCCTCTTTCACTTAGCACAAAGTTCTCCAGTTCCATCCATACTGTTGTAAAGAGTAAATTTTTCTTTTGTTTTTAATTTTATGGCCAAGTAGAATTCTATTGTCTTAATGCCTCATAGTTGTTTTATCCATTTATTTATTGGTGAACACTTGAACTGTTTCTATATCTTGGCAATTATAAATAACACTGGGGTAATGAACATAGGGGTGTTTATGATCTTTCAAATTCGTCTCTTGGGTTCCTACTGATATATTCCCTGGAAACCAACATACTGTTCTCTGTCTCCTTGAGTCTTTTTTTTTTCCTTACTTACTTCCTTACTCTTTTCACCCTTTCCAACACCCACCCCTCTGACAGCTATCTGTCTGTTTTCTGTATCTATGAGTCTGTCTCCACTTTGTTAGTTTATTTTCTTCACTACATTCCACATATAAGTGAAAACATATGTTGCTTGTCTTTCTCTGACTGGCTTATTTCTCTTAGCATCATACCCTCCAGGTGCATCAATGCTGTCCCAGAAGGTAAGGCTTCCTTCCTTTTTATGGCTGAGTAGTATTGCATTGTATAATTTTATCATAGCTTATATGTAGTTACCTACTGATGGGCACTTGAACTGCTTGCAAATTATGGCTACAGTAAGTAACTCCACAATGAACATAAGCATGCACATGTGCTTCAAGGTTTTGGTTTCTTTTTATTTTTTTAATAAATTTTATTGATTATGCTATTACAGTTGTCCCATTTTCCCCCCTTCACTCCCCTCCATCCTGCACACCCCCTCCCACCCACATTTCCCCCCTTCAGTTCATGTCCATGTGTCATACTGATAAGTTCTTTGCCTTCTACATTTCCCTTACTATTCTTATTCTCCCCCTATTAATTTTCTACCTACCATTTATTCTACTTATTCTCTGTACCTTTTCTCACTCTCTCCCCCTTTCACTTCCTTCTTGATAACCCTCCATGTGATCTCCATTTCTGTGGTTCTGTCCCTGATCTAGATGATTGTGCAGTTTGGTTTTGTTTTTGTTTTAGGTGTGTTTGTTAATAATTGTCAGTTTGCTGGCATTTTACTCTACATGATTTTTGTCTTATTTTCTTAGGTAAGTCCCTGTAACATTTCATATAATAAGGGCTTGGTGATGATGAACTCATTTAATTTGACCTTATCTGAGAAGCACTTAATCTGCCCTTCTATTCTAAATAATAGCTGGATAGAGTAACCTTAGATGTGGGTCTTTGACTTTCATGATTTCAAATACTTCGTTCCAGCCCCTTCTTGCCTGCAAGGTTTCTTTTGAGATATCAGCTGAGAGCCTTCTGGGAACTCCTTTGTTGGTAAATCTCTCTTTTTCTCTTGTTGGTTTTCAGATTCTCTCCTTATCTCTAATCGTAATTTAACCATGATGTGCCTTGGTGTGTTTCTCCTTGAATCCAACTTCCTTGGGACTCTCTGAGCTTCCTGGACTTGCATGTCTATTTCCTTCACCAGATTGAGGAAATTTTCCTTCATTATTTTTTCAAATATATTTCAACCAGCTGTTGGTTTCATCAATTTTTAATTAAATTTTAGACTATTTTGTTTAATTCTGCTATGACCTGTATTATTTGCTTTCTTCCACTCACTTTGAACTTTTTTCATTGTTCTTTTTCAAGTTACTTCAACAGTAAAGTTAGATTGTTTGAGATTTTTTCCTCGTTTTTGATGTAGGCCTGTGAGGCTATGAATTTCTCTCTTAGGAATGATTTTGCCTTGTTCCATAGATTTGGGGTTGTATTGTTCTCATTTTCATTTGTTTGATGGTATCTTTTGATTATATCCTTGATCTTATTGGTAACCATTAGTTGTTTAGTGATATGTCATTTAGTCTCCATGTGGTTAGGTGCTCTGGCCCACAGAGCAGTCAACTGGATCTCAACCACCTACCTAGAACAAATGAGTTGGGGGGACAAGAGGCACGAAGAATGGCAGCAAGACAATAAATTCTGATCAAGCTGCAAACTTTATTTTTCCGAACTGGGTATATATATAGGGCAGGAGGGAGAGGAAGGAGATTAGGTTGCTTGCTATTGGCTACCTTGAGACAAAGGAGGGTCCGCTTATTGGTTACTTGGGTGCAACTTGTACTCCTGGATACCTCATGTGCCTGTAGCTGATTGGCTTGTGGAGCGCTTGCACACGGGCGCTAGCCAGAGGTTATTTGGAAATTCCTTGTTGATTAGGGGTTCCAGTAATCAACAGACTGTGCCTTGCAGCCAACCGCAATGTTTTTAGCTAAAGGCCAGGTGCTCATTATGAGGCCTGGGGCAAGGATCCCAACATCTCCTCCCCTTTTTATTACTTTGAGGGCGAGGGAGAATGTAGGTAGGGTAGACTTTAACCGGCTGGGGGAGGTAGAGGCCTGACTCCTCCTGGGCTCATTCTGAGCTTTAGGGTACCTTTTGGGAGGAGAGGAGTTCGGTACCAACCTCTTTGCAAGTCAGCTTACCTCTCAGGAGACTCGAAGTGGCCGTACGTGCAGGCCTCTCCTTGCAGTGCTTTCCCTTGCACCCAGCGGTGTCTATCACAGCTACATGGCTGTGAAGCATATCTTCGAGGGTTATGCTGCTTCCGCAGGAGGGGAACCTGGCAGGAATCGTGGGCTAGCACCCAGCGGCTGTGCGGCTCAGAGTCCACTCCATGTGGCTCAGAGTCCGCTCCATGTTCCAGCATTTCTAATTGTTGATAGTGCACCTGAATAGGTCTTCCTAATACACTGTTAAGTTGGTCTTTGACTAAGTTGGTTACACGTCTAAGAATCCAGGGGGCAAAAGAGAGGATGAGGGTGATAGAAGCTAAAGGTTCTAAGATGGGAAGGAGGTAGGGGAGAATTCTGTTGAGTCCACCCCAAAGGGGGTGTTTGGAAAGTTCTTTTCTTCTTTTTTCTAAGTCTTCTTGTAATTGTTTTATCTTGTCTCGGACGATGCCTGATTTGTTGGCATAGAGCAGCAGCGTTCCTGTAAAGCCAAACAGATACCTCCCTGTTCTGCAGTAAGTAAATCTAGACCTCGTCTGTTTTGAAGGACAACTTCTGCTAGGGAGTCTACTTGGTCTTGGATGTCACTAATGGTACTGGACAGAGCCTGGACATCATCAATTAGTTGTTTAGAGAGCTTTGTGTATGAATGGACTGCAACTCCCAATCCTGCAGTCCCTGTGGCGACTGCTCCAGAGACGCCTAATCCAACTAATAAGGGTATGAATGTTAATGCTCTTTTTTGTCGCCCCGCAATATGGTCTAAGCTGGGAATGGGGACAGGCTTGTCTCCGGGCAGAACATCTATATCTGGTAGTAAGGTAGCCAAGACACATAGCCCGGTCCAGTTAGCGGGCAAGGCTGAAAAGGCTAGGTTGTTTCCACAAACGAATATTTGTCCATGACCTGGGCAAAGGGGGTTACTATAATTGGTTATGCTTCTACAACTAGTAAACTCTATAAAGCCGACGGGAATGTCGAAGCTATTATTTTGAGCTATGCCTTGTAAGCACGGGGAGGGTGGGAATATTGTAGGTTGGACTCTAAAAGGTAAACCAGGGTTACATTGTAGCTGTGGTTCATTAAGGGTGGAT